AACTTTTTCCACATAGCGTTCTTCAACGTGCGATTAAATCGTTCGCATATCGAAGCTTTGAGCGAACTATTGGTAGAATACATATTGATATTATATTTTTTCACGAGAGCTTGAAAATCTGCATTGTAGAATTCCTTGCCTCTATCCGTATGAAGATTCTTTGGCCGTCTACCTTTCGCTAAAATAGATTTCATGGCCGCTGTCACATCACGACCGGTTTTCCTTTTCACTGGATAATTACGTCTCGTTGGTTTGTGCAACTCCTCCACCACCGCTTCCATCTAATCGACTGTTTTCTAAATTTTCAACACTTGATTTTATTCGTGGTAATTCCTCTTTGATAATTACATCCAAATCCTCAAGATCACTCCTTAATCGTGCGATCACGTCTCTCGTAGATTTGATTGCCATCTGAACGATGTTTTCCGCAGTTTCCCAATTTATAGCATCTTTAGCCTTCCGCGGAGGAGCAAGATTTTCCAATCTTTTATTCTCTAGATCGTAATGGTACTCGCTCGTGAGCTTGAACCCAATACCGGGCGGACCGCGAAGACCGTGAACTCCTTGCTCTTTATATTTACGTCCGAATACGTCGACGTTCATTTTGATAATGCTCGAACGATAGGTGTGCTGTTAGTATATATATATATCCACCCTCGCGTAATTCTTCGATTATCGAATGAATTTCGTTGATGTGATTATTGTTACCAGCTGATTGCTCAGCCAATAACAATCGAAGACGATCAACGAGCTCATTCGGATCATCCCAGTATACGTAATCCATAGAAGTATTGTTTCTAGCAATCTTATAGGTAGGCAAAGACGTATCAGTCGTCTGTACCAGCCCATCGCCTCCTTTTGTATTTTTTTTAGTCAAACCAAATAACGGACTAATTATGTTATTGAATTTATTACTATTGTGCGCTCGTATAGCCTCGTTTGGATTATTTTTCTTACTATGAATATTAGAAATCTCCATGATTTCTTTGTAGCTCTTGAGATAATTGGAAGTGATTAAACTTTGATCAGGTTGCTTTGCAACCAGTAACTCCATCAAACCCTGTGTTTTTGGATACTTGAAATCATCGACGTCTACGTTATCTTTGTCAAAAATCACCATAGATTTACCAAGCGTGTATGATCCATTTCGATCTTTACGTACTCCATAAATCAAGTCCACAAAATTCGAATCACTTTTATCCAATGCATTCGTGTACTTGTCGCCAGCTAAATGCTCATCCTCGCTCGGTTCGTCGGATAAACTGTTATAAAACTGTGTAGTATTGTGCGTGACAGTAGCATCGCTATCTCCGCTACTTGACTGAGCGGTTTCGTACTTGTCGACATTATCAGCCGAATTGATTTCGTATTTTAATTTTTTTTTGTTTAGAAATTTCGGCTTTTTAATAACTGTAACGAGAGTTTCGGGGGGAAAATTTTTTTTTTGTTCCTTCTCACTTATTATGACTTTAAGAGGATTGACTATTGGTTTGAATGTCTTATTCAAGACTTCGTCGGTATACTCTCGGTTATGCTTCAATAAACTATATTTTCGTCTTATCGTGTCTTGCGCTTTTACGAGTTGAGAAAGCACATGTTTTTCCCTTTGATGATCAGCCATGTTAACGCTTCGACGATCATCGAGAGACTGTGTACCGCATTACTATCGTGATATGTTTATAACAAAACAATCAAAGCGCTTTCGCACAAAGTTCTTTAAATTGATTGTAAGTCATATCTGAATTCACATGATCGTCGTATATATGTTTCATATTTGCTTCGTATTGTCGAAAAATTGCCAATAAATTGACGTTATCTCTCACGAGATGCTTAGGAATACGCGCGTACGTTTGCGAGAGATAGAAACAATCGACGCTCCTATGTCTGCCCATACAGAAGAAAGCGCGTACATTGTCCTGTTTCTCACAGGCGATGTCGTCGAATATCATAATTGAATTAGGCAATGCATGCTCGGGATCGATCACGGATTCGTGCTCCTTGAACGGAAAATACTTCACTCCGTCTATCGGCTTTAACATCTCTTCCAATAATTTATACTTTGGCTGATCGAGCGATTTCGAGTACACTTAAACGTTTTCGAATCTAACGCCATTGGGGTGAGTGATAAGCGCCAAAAGACTGTTGGTCTTGCCACAGTTGGACGGACCACAAAAAATAGCTCTGATGCTATTCGGCAGTAAATCTCCGTGACGCTTTGGTACCTTATCCTCCCGCACGATGACGTCAAAATTTTCTACGGGAAGTTTCACAGTTTGTTTCTTGAAATTCATACTCACGAGACAGAGTTCGAACGATAACTGACCACATGGCTATATATATACCTGTTTTTATAGTTTAAAACGTTAGTCGTGTGTTGGACTTAGTCGAGGAATGATCATATGCAAACGTCAAAGAGCAAAGAAAGGACGAGGATTCGTCAATAATATCATTAATAAACTTCCATTTGAACTCCATATTCCAGGCTATCAATATTGCGGACCAGGAATTAAGTTACAGACACGTTTAGCTCGCGGCGATCCAGGAATCAATCCTCTCGACGCAGCTTGCAAGCAACACGATATAGCGTACTCGAAAAATCGAGAAAATATCCAGGCTAGAAATATCGCAGACAAAATTTTAGCTGAAAAAGCGATCAAAAGAGTCTTCGCTAAGGATTCTAGTTTTGATGAGAAAGCAGCAGCTTACGCTATATCTAACGCCATGAAATTAAAATCAAAGTTTGGTGTGGGTCTCGCGAGGAGAAGAAAGAAAACCAAGACGAAAGGACGCAAGAAAACGAATAACTTAGTTAATTTGAAAAGCGTCATCAAAGCGGCCACATTCAAATGGTCCAAGGGTAAATGTGCGCGCAAAGTCATCGGTTCTGCTTTGAAAAAAGCTCGTACAACCGTTAAAAAAGCTGGTGGAAAAGCAAACATCAATGTTCAACGAATTCTGCCAATATCAACTAAGATGGCTGGAGCTTTGCCCTTCCTTATACCACTTTTTGCAGGCTTGAGTGCAACTGGCGCTCTAGCTGATGGCGCCGCGGGAATCGCAAAAGCCGTGAACGATGCAAAGTCTGCAAAACAGCAATTGGAAGAGAACAAGAGACACAACAAAACGATAGAGACCATTACTCTGGGAAAAGGCCTGTATCTCAAACCTTATAAAAAAGGCTATGGACTTTATCTCAAACCTTATCTGGGATTTTGGTAATAATGCCATTTGTCACATGTTTGAAGAAATTAGGTATGAGCTGAATGCTATAGAAATAGATAAATGTAAGAACGTTGGTCTCACAACCGTTATATAAGAACTGGTTATCTCTCACTCCAAGTCAAACCTTGATTGCCGAAAATGCCGGATGGATAAATACCTTACAACAAGAGGACCGTAATATAACTAATGCGAATGGCGACTTTGACATTTTGATTCCTCTGAGCTTCATACTTGGATTCGCTGAGGACTATCGCAAAGTGCTAGTGAATATGAAACACGAATTAATTCTCGTAAGATCGAGTACTGATTTAAATGCAGTTTATCAAACGAAGAAGACCGTGGCCAACATTGAAGCTTACCAAGAATTCAAGATTAATGTAACACGTCTCGAATGGCTTATGCCCTAGGTGACTGCATCGAATGCAAAGAAAATACGTCTACTCGACTTTCTAAAAAGCGAACGAAGTATTTCAATGAGTTTTCGTAGTTGGGAACTGTACGAATATCCAACGCTGCCTGCAAACACAAATCACGTCTGGACAGTTAACCCGTTAACGTCCACAGGACACATTTTTTAAGTTTGAGTTTGATTTGTTACCTCGCAATGAATTCGAACTCAAATAACTTAAAACTAACCGTACCCTATGTTTTCGAGGGTGCTCTTTCGAATGGTGATGATCAGAAGTCGAAAAAAAGATTTCTAACCTCTAAAAAATCAAAATTAAAAAAAAAAAACGTGATTTTGAAAAAAAAAATTTTTGTTTAAACTGATTTTCTGGAGCCTATACATTTTTGTATCGGTCTAAAACCGGTTAGAAAGGTGTCCTCGATATCTGAACTAAATGTTAGGATGATGACATTTATTTGAATAATTTTTTATCTAAGCAAAATGACGGCCGAAATAAAAAAATTTTGTTCTAAACTTTATAAATTTTTTTCTCAAAAAGTATAGGTGTTAGCAAAAAATTTATAAGAATAAAAATATCTTAAAATTGGCTAAGAAATACTCTTAAATTTTTTCAAAACGTTTTGAAACAATTTTTGATTTTTGAAAAATTCAAAAAAATGAAATTTCAAAAAAGTTGAAAAAACATTTTGAAAAAATTCAAGAGCATTCCCTGATTAATTCTAAGATATTTTTGTTCAAATAAATTTTTAGTTAAACTGCATAGTTTTGAAGAAAAAATGTGTGAAATTGTAAAAAAACTTATTTGTATATTTAAAATAATGAGCAACAAATAAATAAAAAGGCCGAACCAATGGGATTTTCGGTTCTCTAATTGTTGTGCCTGTTAGCCGGCGATGGTACATCACCGTTGTCCATCTCTTACCACGGGGAGGTCGACAATAGAAAGAGACATTTTCTTTTTTTTTGTTTTTTGCCTTGTTTTTTTACTTTTTTTTTTATTTTTTTTTGTTTCTCGCCTTATTCAAATTTTTTTTATACTTAAATGTTTTGGATAAAATCTGATAACTAGATTTAATTGAAACTTATAAAATTATTTATGAAAATCAAGGAAACATGTAGAACAAAAATATTTTTGGCAATCAACGTAAAATTCTTGTGTTCTTTTAGAACATTTTGTGAAGTTGAAACATTTCTTTTTTGCCATGACTTTTTGGTGTGTGTGAGATTGTCGATTATTGGTTTCATTCAAGTATATTGATGCTACAGCTAGTGCAATGTCTTTTATGGTTACAACTTTTTTACCACACACCAAATTCTTGAGTACGGCGGCATTTGTAATTGATCCTTGAATAATTCTCATTAAAACTACTCAAGTCCATTTTTTCGACCTAATACACGGCAACAGACTGCTACAGTAATAATCATGTTGGTCTACTCCACCCATAAAATTGTTGTACAAATTGAAAGCATAAGGACAAGGTATTTCAACTTTACCATGTTCATCTTTAGAATATCGTTTTGCTGAAGACAATGGAGTAATGCCACAAGCCGTCGAGAGCAATGAGACAATTTTAGAGTCCATGACTGATATGTAGTTGACACCACTATTTTTGTCATGTTTCACAAAATATGTTCCTCTCTTTGATTTATTATTAAGATCAATAGTGACTCCGCTTACTCTATTTGCTCTCACAGTACCTGTAGCTCGAAAACCAATTTTTCGTAGATGAACGAAAAGATCTGGTGAACTAAAAAAGTTATCGAAATAAATGTGATAACGACTGATCTTTCTTGGTGACACAGTTGTTAGGAGCCTCTGGAGCATTTGTAGAACAACGCGGCTACCCAAAGCACAATTTCTTAAATTCTCTAACTGCTTCGAAGGGAGATGGTTTGATCCTTTCCCACAATATATATCAAAATCAAAAATAAATCCTTCTTTATTGCAAATAGCCCACAGTTTCAAACCAAAACGTACAGGTTTACCTTTCATAAACTGCTTCAAGACTGTCCTACCATAAAATTTGATCATACATTCATCAATTGATAAAGCTGTGGAAAAAATCGCAAATTGTTGGCAGTTTTTTCGAAAAATATCTAAAGGAACACGTATACGCCAATCTCTATCATTTGCATTTTTGTCTTCATTTTTTGATAGCTTTATTTCTGATTTTATTTTTTCAAATTTTTGACGACTCATGGCTAATTTTACTAATTCGCAGACTAGAAAAGGATTATTTGACCAGTAATCTCTCTGACTTTTTCTTGAATTAAAGATCGATAAAATAATAATTCCTAAAAATGTGTTCAAGTCTTATAGAGTAAGATCACCACCATTGCATACTGTTGCTTCTACTATAAATGCCTTTAATTCAACAGAAAAAAATAATTCAAACAAATCAGTCAGAGAATAATCGAGGATCTTTTTACGATCAGATTCTGAAAGAAAAACTTCACATGTTAACTTTTCCCCATAAACTTTTTCGCCATCCAACCACTCATAAACATGGTTTGGTTCTAACTTCTTTTGATTTTCCGAGTAGCTATCAAGAACTTGATTGTATAAAGTAGTAGGTATAAGATTTTCAAGGAATGAGCATACATCAAGGTGATCATTTTCATTTTCTGAATTTGAATCAGACTCAGAATCTTGAGAATCGTCTAAACTGGGAATCATAATGACATCTAAATTCTCGTCATTTTCTTCGGTTTCAATATCATATTGTTGATCAGAATTTTTTGATCGTTTTTTGGGTGGCATTTTTCCGACTTCACAATAAAATAATTCTACTATTTTCTTATAAGAATATGTAATAATGCAATAAAAAATTATTTTTTAAGTTATCTAAACAACTAAAAATTGTTTCCGAACTCAATGAAGAAATAAAAAAAATTTTTAGAGCTTTAGTAATCATCAAACTACTTAGTGTAAAGATAACATATTTTTACATTTTATACAAAGATTCTTTTATATATTTTCTGAAACTAGTATAATATTATGTGAAGCTGACAATACGTTGACAGTTAGTTATCAAAATAATAATTTAAAAAACTGATTTGAAATGCATGAAGATTAAATTGTATCCAACTATACAAATAATATATATGTGCTTATAATAAATATATAATAATAAATAATAAATAATAATAATAAATATAATAATAATAAATATAAATAATAATAAATATGTGCTTTTTTACAAATTCACGTAATTTTTTCTTCAAAACTATGCAGTTTTACTAAAAATTTATTTGAACAAAAATATCTTAGAATTAATCAGGGAATGCTCTTGAATTTTTTCAAAATGTTTTTTCAACTTTTTTGAAATTTCATTTTTTTGAATTTTTCAAAAATCAAAAATTGTTTCAAAACGTTTTGAAAAAATTTAAGAGTATTTCTTAGCCAATTTTAAGATATTTTTATTCTTATAAATTTTTTGCTAACACCTATACTTTCTGAGAAAAAAATTTATCAAGTTTAGAACAAAATTTTTTTATTTCGGCCGCCATTTTGCTTAGATGAAAAATTATTCAAATAAATGTCATCATCCTAACATTTAGTTCAGATATCGAGGACACCTTTCTAACCGGTTTTAGACCGATACAAAAATGTATAGGCTCCAGAAAAACAGTTTAAAAAAAAATTTCTTTTTTCAAAATCACGTTTTTTTTTTTATTTTGATTTTTTAGAGGTTAGAAATCTTTTTTTCGACTTCTGATTATCACCATTCGAAAGAGCTCCCTCGAAAACATAGGGTACGGTTAGTTTTAAGTTATTTGAGTTCGAATTCATTGCGAGGTAACAATTCAAACTCAAACTTAAAAAATGTGTCCTGTGGACGTTAACGGGTTAAAACGACAAATCAGTTGGAGAAACCACGCTACGTCATCTTAGCCTTCCAAATCAATCGAAAAAATGAACCAAACTCTAACTCTAGTATATTTGATCATTGTAACATCAGAAATGTAAAACTGTACCTCAACTTTCAGTGCTATCCATACGGTATTCTCAACATTGATTTCAGTAAAAACCAGTACGCAATGTTGTACGATATGTATGCCAATTTTCAAAATGTATACTACGGTAAGGATGCCGAACCGATGCTCAAAAAACTCGAATATAAAAATTACATGCCACTCGTAGTGATTGACTGTTGGAAACAAAACGAATCATTAAAGACTGCTCCAGTAGATGTGCGCTTGGAGTTCGAAACCAGAGAAAATATTCCCGATATTGCGAAAGCTCCAGCACGCCAGATTCGTGAGCGCAATTGACCTCGCGAGCGGACTTTGGCAGGTCCCTCTTTCGGAGAGGGCCATCCCGATAACTGCTTTCACCATCCCCGGACTCGGGCTATTCGAATTTGTTCGGATGCCCTTCGGATTGGCTGGTGCCCCGGCAACATTTCAGATGTTGGCCGACAGGCTCATCTCGCCCGAGATGGAGCCTTATGCCTTCGCGTATCTTGACGACGTGATCATCGCTACTGAAACGTTCTCAGAGCATGTCCGCTGGCTCACGCATATTCTAAAAAGAATACGTGAGGCTAGCCTTACGATCAACCGCAAGAAGTCCAGGATTTGCATGACCGAGGTGCGTTATCTCGGCGTGCTGGTAAATCGCGATGGTACGCGCCCCGATCCTGAATGAGTCGCACCGATACTCGAGTACCCAGCCCCGAAAAATCTTCATGCTTTGCGCAGATTCTTGGGCATGGCCTCGTGGTATCGAAAATTTCTAAGCGATTACGCTACGATTTGTGAGCCGCTTAACGCGCTCACCCGCAAGGACGCCAAATTTGAATGGCAGGAGGCGCAACGGCAAGCTTTTGAGCAAGTCAAAGCCCTTTTGGCTACGGCCCCTGTCCTAGCCAGGCCCAATTTCACTGGCGCCCTGACAGCTTGCGAACGCCGCCTGTCGGTTACCGAGCGTGAGTGCCTCGCTGTCGTCTGGTCGACCGAAAAGTTCCGACCCTACGTGGAGGGGTATCACTTTACAGTTGTGACCGACCACCAGAGCCTTAAATGGCTCACTAACCTGAAACACCCAAACGGTAAGCTTGGTCGCTGGTCCCTCGCGTTGAAATCGTATGATTTCGATATTATACGTCGCAGGGGTAAGGACAACGTCGTGCCTGACGCGCTTTCACGCATGTTTGAGGCCGACGAAGTCGAGCTCGCGGCTACCGCTTCGTTGACACTCGAAGAGAGCATCAACGACCCGTGGTACCGCAAGAGGATGCAGGAGGTCCTCGAGCGGCCCACGGATAACCCCTATTGGAAGGTTTTAGGCGGCCGGTTATATATTTATAAGCCTGACCCCATCGTCGACGACCTCTTCGGAACCGATGACGACGCCTGGAAGCTCGTTATCCCAAAGGAAGACCGGGCACGAGTCTTATCCGAATGCCACGAGGAGCCGACGGCAGGACATCTTGGCCGCTACAAAACCCTCAAGCACGCGAGTCTCCGCTATTATTGGCCGAAAATCCATCATGACGTAGGACACTATATTAAGAATTGCCAAATCTGCCAGCAGGTCAAAGCCTTACAAGTCACACCAGCAGGATTGATGGGACGACACCTCGTCACGCGACCGTGGGAAATTGTGTCCGGCGATACCATGGGCCCCTTCCCGCGATCCGCGCAGGGCTACGAGCACTTGCTTGTCTTTCTCGATCTCTTCACTCGTTGGATCGAATGTGTCCCTCTCCGTAAGATTACTGGGAAAATCATCTGATGCCAACTGAAAGAACGTGTGTTTCTGCGTTTCGGGATCCCTAAAAAGTTCTTGTCTGACAACGGTACTCCGTTCAAGAATAAAGTTGTCGACGACTTTTTGGACTCGTTCGGCGTGATACACGCGACATGCGCCCCGTACTCGCCTAAACGCAACCCGACCGTCATGGGTCCCGCGGTCTCGCTATCGCGGGAACCTACGCGACCAGGCTGCAGGAGGCCATAGAACTTAAAGCCTACCTCCAGGAGGCGATCCCCGAATGGCGGAAGGAACGCGAGGCTCGCAAACAGCGCGAGGAGACGCGACAACGCTTACGAGAGGAGCAACGTCGAGCCCAAGAGCACCTCGAGACGGTGAAACGGCAGCTCGCAGCCTTGGGCGACCCACCGACGACCCACTCCCGGCGAGCTTCCAACCAGGCCATACCGAACGACCGGACGCGCTGCACGCCAGGCTACTTTGCCCTGCAAGGAGCCGCAGGAGACGAGCCGTGCAACGGCTGGGCCGGTCCCCGTCCCGACCTCTTCGGCAAGCGGGCTTGCTCCACTTGTGGCCTTACGGGAGTACCTCGAACCTCCGACTGCCCGAACTGGTCGAGGCACGAGCTCTGGAGGAGTGGCGGACAGCAGCCGTACTCATATAGCACGGTCGAAACGCGCCAACGCAGGGAAGCCTTCCTTCGGGATCGAGAAGAGTCGTCGGTCACCCACGCGGACGACGGCGAAAGACGAGGTGTATCCGAGCACTAGGTCTAAACCTAAGCGCTACAACCATCCTCGCGACCTCGCCCTTGAGGTTTTTCCCCCAAGAATCAGGCATTGACGCCCATGTTTTTTTTTCTCTTCTCGTTTTCTTTTGTCACGCGTTATTAGATTTGCGATGTCTTGATTTTTCTTTATCAATTAATTTTCCTTGCTTGGTGGAGAGAGACAGGTTTTTCGACCTGGTACGCCCTGCTACCCAGTCTGGGAAAGGGGCATATAACGAGCGGCCAGACCCTCGTTATGTCTCTCTCAATACATAATTATAATTATTCTTATATATATATAATTGTCTTATAATTATCCCACATGTATGGCAGCCAA